AGCATGAGTTGTTTGCTTATCCTTGTTACTACTATGATTTTTTAAAATGCCAAGTTCTGCCTGATAATAGGGGTGGAAGCAAGAAGGCAAGACAGGATAACAAAACTATCACAAATGGGGCTTTTAGTAAAATGTCACAGAGTAGCACATGGAGATTGTTCTAGTTTCATATTGCTGTGATAAAACATCCAGCAAAAAGCAACTTGGGAACTTCGGTTTCCAATGATAGGTTACAGTCTATCACTGTAAGAAAGTCAAAGTAGGAACTTCAAAGAGCTAGTTATATCACATCTACAATCAAGAGCAGTGAAAAATGAATGTATGCATGCTTACTTATTTTTTTATATTGAACTATCTGAGTTCTTCACTCTTAGACAGTTCAGAAACCCGCTGACTAGGAATGATACTTCCTATGGTAGGCTGGGTTCCCACATATAAATTAACATAATGAAGACAATCCCCCAAAGTCATGTCCACAGGCTGATTCAATCTCAACCATCCTCCATGGCCACTCTCTTCCCAGGTGATTCCACGTTGTGGCAAGTTGGTAATTACAGGTAATCATCACGAGGATGGTGAGAGTTACACGGTTAAATATGAGAATGGTGAGATAAGAAGTCAGAAAAGTAGCAAAGTCATAGCATTGATCCTGTGGTTCATAAACACCTTTGTTAGGAAAAAGAAATATAAGCACTGTTTGCCAAGAAGGAAAACACCGAAAGACACCACTAGATTATGCAATCCTATCTGAATTTGGCAGGGTTATGGGAGATGGCTGTAGGAAACAAATTCTACAAGTGAAGATGGCAATTAAAAATAATCCCAGATATCACATGACATAAAAGTTAGGGCAAGTGTCATGATTTGGGAGAAAATTTTAGAGTGGAGATGGAGAAGAAGAAATTCATTGCAGGTGACTGAGAAGCTAAAATAAGGAGGAACTAATGACCAAGAGTCATAAAGGAGAAAGTGAGAGGAGAGTTAGAATCTACAAAAATGCCAGAAGTAAGTGTAGGAGGGTAGATAAATTGGGTGTTTCTGTTACTAGTCAATATGGATATATAACATTTGAGCAATATGACCAATTATTTTGACCTAAATGACATTTGTATGATATTCCACTGCTTATAAACAAAATAAACGTTCTTTGTAAACCCACGCAGAACATTTATCAAGACTGATAATTTCCTGGACTATAAGACAATTCTTAACTAATTTAAAGTGATCAAGTCATACAATCTATATTCTTTTGAGAAATGAAAATAAATTAGAAATTCAGAACATACCGAACAAAACTGTTTAACTTGACTTTAATATAAAGAGAAAGATCACTCATCTGTATAATTTTTTAGATACCAATGAGGGAGATCAATGTTTTTAATCAAAGACATTAAGAACATATGGAAAATTCCTTAATACTTGGAAACCAAATAGCATATTTCCTAAATTCCCAGAAAAGGAAACGAAAGGGCAATTAGAAAGTATTCTGAGCAGACTGAAAGTAAAAAACAAAGCATAGCAGAATCTAAGGAGGCAGCAAAAATAGTATTAAGAATCTGCAGTGCTATCTGCCTGTTAGAAAATGAAGCAAAATAAAATATGTGAATCAATAAACATGTGTTATCTTAAAAGCCTAAAAGCAAACAAAGTTTTCAACCTGTTAATTAACCAAAAGCAAGGAGAAGAAAGTAAGAATAATGTTAGGAACAGAAATAAATGATCTAAAAAGAGAGAGAGAGAGAGAGAAAAGCAAAGAAACCATAACCTAATTCTATGTTGAGAATAGCAGACATTATAGTCATCGCGAGTGTCAGAATGAACCAAGGAGAGAATCCAAGGAAGAATGGATGGGGATAGTGGGGTAATGGAAGTGACTCTATAAATACTAGACCAACAATTAATATTGTGAACATCAGGCCATTACATTTAATGACAGTTAAAATGCCCACATTCTTAGAAAAAGACTAACTACCTTAACTCACAGAAGAATAATCAGGTAGAAGCACACACTTTTTTACTGATAGAGAAATTTACTTTGCACTTTGAAGAGACTGTCCTACTTCCCGGGTTACGTCACGCTCGGTGGTAAAGAACCAGATGCATTTCCCTCAGATCAGCAACACAGGAAAGACACACACTCTTTTCATTTCCACTTCACACTTTACAGATGTTATAGCCAGTGCCACAAGGTAAGAAGAATAATTTAAAGGTATGTAGATCAGGAAAGATCAAAAAAACATAATTGTTTGCATAAAACCTCTCATTGGATATGGTGAAAAAACCTCTAAGAACAACTGATATTAAGCATAGTTACAGAACAAAAACTCAACGTAGAAAAAAAATTCATTGTAAAAAAGAGAGAGAGAGAGAGAAAAGCAAGAGAGAGAGAGATGACTTTGTGCAAAAGCATGTGTTGTACATGCATGAGGCTCTAAGCTCACATCCTCATAAACCACATAGAAAGCAGGGCATAGCCATGCAGATCTGTAACTCCGACACTGTGGGAGGTGGAGACAAGAGGACTGATATGACTCAGTGGTTGGCAGCCTAGCTCTAGGTTCAGTGAAACATCTTGTCTCAAGGGAATAGAGCAGAGTGTGACAGGACAGGGCGCTGATTGTTTTCCTAGGGCCTTCATTAGCATGAAGAGGTCCAAAGACCTGCATACACATGTATACAATAAGCTAAATACATTCAATATACTAAATGAAAATATAGATTATATACATATTTCCATACACAAAGAAAATATATGTAATTATAAAATGCATAGTATTTTTTAAATTACAAATTTACCAAGTCTAAAAACAGAACCATGGTTGCCTTAGGGTAGTAAACAGGAGATCATCATTGGCGAACATAAGACCTACTTTAGACTGTTGACCATAGTGATCTACACACACACACACACACACACACACACACACACACACACACACATTTCCAAATTATACATTGTAAGTATATAGGGTTTATCATATACCTCAAAGCTGCTCTTCTTTTTTCTAAGTGGCACTACTGACAAAAGTTAAGCATAGACTTCATAGAGTACTAGTCTATGACTAGAACAAGAACAGAAGCAACTGAGTACAGACTACTTCCCCAGTGAGGTTAGCTTTGAGTGTAAGAGACAAAGAGGGGCTCACTCCTCATTCAGAAGGGCAAATACGATAGACAATGAAAGCAGGACAAGACAGGAAACGGGGCAGGAGCCTTCCACAGACAGCCTCTGAGGCTATACTGATCGAGGTATCGAAGCAGATGTTGAGACTCATAGCCAAACTTTGGACAGAGTGCAGGGAATCTTATGAAATAAGGGGGAGATAGAAAGACCTGGAGGAGACAGGAGCTCCACAAGGAGAGGAACAGAACCAAAAAATCTGGACCCAGGGGTCTTTTCTGAGACTGATACTCCAACCAAGGACCATGCTGGAGATAACCTAGAACCCCTGTACTGATGTAGCCCATGGCAGCTCAGTGTCCCAGTGGGTTCCCTAGTAAGGGGAACAGGGGCTGTTTCTGGCATGAACTCAGTGGCTGGCTCTCTGATCACCTCCCCCTGAATGGGGAGCAGCCTTACCAGGCCACAGAGGAGGACAATGCAGCCAGTCCTGATGAGACCTGATAGGCTAGGGTCAGATGGAAGTAGGAGAGGACCTCCCCTATGAGAGGGCTGGGGGAGGGGCATGAGAGGAAAAGAGGGAGAGAGGGCAGGATCAGGAAGGGCTGAGGGACAGGGCTACAGCCAGGGTACAAAGTGAATAAATTGTAATAAATAGTAATAATTAAAAATTAAAAAAGAGACAAAGAGGATGAGGGAATGAGGGAAACTGACAGAACAAACTGGACAAAAGGTCGAGTTCTATGTGTTTTTGAAATGCAAGGAATGTGTACATATAAATGTGCTATAGAAGAGAAGGAAGTTGAAAATTTAGGATAGAAAATTTAAGAAGAAAAGAGTTTTGAATAAGGGGGACATTGTAGGTACAAATGAAAATGTTTTGTGTCTAGGTGGAAGGATGTTAGAGTCAACAGACTTAATTTGCTCCCCGCCCCCCTTCCTATTCTGGGGAGGATGAGGAATGAGAAAAAGAAAAACTCAGGAAAAAGTGCTGGATTTTCAGGAAAGCAGTTGGTTACAGCAGTTGAAATGGTGGTCAGGATAAGTGTTATATCTAAGAACTTTATGAAGTGACAAGAGGACAGACAGACTTTCCTGTGCACAGTAGGCTATTTTGTCCTATGGCCCTTCTTTGCTTCCTTTCCCTTTAGCCAGGATCAAATTTCACTCACATGCCATTCTTCCTACTGAACCTCACCCCCTCCCCATTACCTTAAATATACAATACTTAATATATTCTTCAACTTTATTGGTAAATATCTCTATACATATTAAAAAATATACAGATTCTCTTAATAAATCATAACATTCTGTTACCCAGGTACATAAAATCTTAGCCCTGTACCATATTTATCACAACAAAAATGGTGGACTTATTAGCAAAAAGAGATTTCATCACCAGCTAATATCAATGAAATCAACTACCTTTTACATTTCATATATTTTATGAATAAATGTGTAGAGAGCCTCTAAGTCTTACAGGTACTGTGGGTGTGCAAAAAGTCAAATAGGGCCCCAAATGGCCACTGGCAAGTCAGGCAGGTATTTTCCAAGGATTGAACTCTTAATATATTAAACCATGCATATGAGATCATACCCACAGGTACGAGGTTTGGGAAAACATTCCAGCCAAGTATGAATTTTTAATAAAAATGATAATTATGACTCACAGCACTGACACTGTTTTTTTCCTTTGGTGTTACAGCACTCATGGCCATGTTGACAGTGTAAACACAGGGAAGTTTAATAAATACTAACACCCACCATGCCATATATGGTTTCTGAAGCTGAAGTATGTAATCAGTATCTACAGGCAAGAGTGTTGTGTATTCAATATTCAATCAGCCATTTGATCAGGATAGTCGTTGTCTGACAGTACCTGCCAGAAGGCGCTGTGTGCATCTCCTCTCAGGAGCTCAACAGTGTCCCCTGCCTGGAGATGCAGTGGAGGTCCTTCATGAAGAGCTGGGGATGGGGTGCCAGCGTAGTTCCTAATGACCTGCATCCTCGGCAAACCTGAAAACAAACAACACACTAGTTACCACAGATAAGGCGGTGGTGTGTGCAGGCTGCATGTGCTCTCACAAGAGGAAAAGTGGAGCCCATTATTAGCATTAAAACGTTTAATGCCACCAGCCTCAGGAGGACATCTGAAGCAACCCAGATAGAATGCTGCTCAGCTTCCTCATCACCTGAGATGGGGAGAGAATAAGACGCTGATCCCCTGATCCCTCATACACCTTTCCTTCCCTCACTGTCAGTCTCTTTTTAGTTGAAAAAAAATTTTTTTCTCTTTCAGCTGATGCCTGCTTCATAAACAACACATCACGTTTTGGAAAAGGATCAATTTTTTCATCAGCTCTACCCTTTCTGCCTGTTACTTTCCTCTTGGGTATTGGCTGATTTCATCATGAAGGAGGCTTACCCTATCTGTGTGTGTATCACACTGCCCAGTAGAAGGTTCCTCTCTTAAGGTTATCTTTGTAATTCAAAAGCAAAAAGGTGATGGATGTGTGACTACAATTCTTGAGACATTTATATGGAGAAAGTGTCTGGGATCAAATTTAGGCTTGCAAAACAGATCCAACAAATGGAACATGTCTAAGCCAATAGCATCAACAATATTAAAAACACAGATCCATCCCTGTCTTGCATTTCTTTCAATGTGCAATGAGGGCGTCGGTTCAATATTTCATTTTAGAGAACAGGCAGCTTCAATTATGTTGGGGCCTAATTGCACTGATACTTCTCACAAATGTATGACCTCACAGTCACTTTTTCATTTATAGATGAAGCTGCTCCCTCGTAGAAGAGAAATTGCTCAGAGGCATGACCATCTCTTACCCATTTAGGGGCATGAGCTATTGCTTATTACACTTGAGAAGTGTTTATTCCAACAATGGTGTGATGGGATGAAAGCACTGCACTCAGTATTTGGAGAACCAGTGACTATCATTTGGTTCTGGATATCCCAGATACTTTTAAAATGCTGCATGAAATGCTCTAGCAAGGAGTTTATAGAGATCTCAAAATCCTTTGCAGTCATCACCTACTACTCAGCCAGAGCAGGGGATAAAAGACACACGTTACTTTAAATGAAACAAAACAAAAGTGTTACTCAGGGCACCCTTATCAATCCAGTCAATGGAAAGCAAAGGGTTGAAATTCACTAGCCCTTCACTCCGATTCAGCTGCTATGGCCGTGGAGGTACAAATATAAGTTGCTGCATCTCCTCTTGGCTTCAGTGCCACAGAACCCCCAAAGGGATGGTGACTTTAACTCTGCATCTTCATGAAGAGTTTTCCTACCGGAAGTCATAAGGAAGCACACTAACACAAACAGCATATTTTATTATCCTTCCCCAAGAAACAGCATCCCAAGGTGAAACACTCATCAAACTTGTTTCCCACATGCTAACTGCCTTGAGAACTAAGAGTGCTTATTTTACAGTCTGTTAAATTGCTACTACCTAAAATGAAATCTGCCCTTCCTGTACACCTAAGCAATGTCAAAAACTCAGCATGTGAAGAAGGACTTGGGAGAAAGCAGAATTCTTCACATGCTGTCTGGCTCCCATGTTTTGGCTCAGATTTGTACTTAGTCTGTTTTCATTGAGAATCATCAATGCTTGGATAAGATCTAATTTAGTAGATTCCCTGGACAGTTTTGATTTTATACCATTTAAAAAACATGCTAAAGGCAGGAAAGAATAGGTTTTAAGTCTGAAATAGCATCTGACCTTAAATAGCAAGGCCATAGGAGAGCTGTGACCTTCACTATACTATCTGTGTGACACCTAATGATAATGAGAGTTCTCTTACTGTCAACATGCCCAAGGTAGTCATTCTCAAGAAGAAATGATTAAAAATGCATCGATATTTAAGGAAACACATTAACTCTGATGTCAGTTCACTAAGTATACATTAGAGATTATAATATAAAAATGTCCAGTCTGCACACAAGGCTATGAGAAGTCGGGTCCAAAGTGACGCTGCCTCGGGTCTATTTATATAGATTGGACTGCCATAACACATGTAAAAAAATAACATCTAAAATAGGAAATAATACACAGGTGAACATGGGCTGACTACAAAAAATCTTCTATGTTGCAAAGCGGCAATGAAGGACTTGGCTTGTATACAGTGTTATCTGTTCTTGCTTTTTACTAATTCTATCTTGTCAGCTATAACTTTCTTAAGGGAAGCTGATCTAACTGAACACTAACAGAGACACACTGCTCAGTTTGTTCCTAAAATGAAAATGTGTGGTTGAAATGAAAATGTTAGGTTGGCCAGAAGAAGGCTCAGCCCATGTTATGTTCAAAAGGATGCTGTAACTAGTCTCAACGCAGTCACAAACTAACTGGCAAATATAGGGTTCTTCAACTGACATGCTTTTTCTATGGGAATAAATTGTAACCATATGATAAACTAGAATTGTGTATTTTGTCATTCCCAGAATAATCTGTGGCTATTTGTTTCTAATGGTTAATACTTATCATTTCACCATTGTCTACTGTTAGAGCCATGGCACTACAGAGATCAAAGGATAAAAGAATGAAATGAGGGCAGATTGATGTAATAAAAATGGTCATTTTGTCCTTTGCTTCTGATGCTAGCACAGGACAGGCATTCAACATTGGTATGAAGAATGACTACTTTACAAAAGATCCCTTTATATTCCTTCCTTTAATAATAAGAAAGAAAGAAAGAAAGAAAGAAAGAAAGAAAGAAAGAAAGAAAGAAAGAAAGAAAGAAAGAAAGAAAGAAAAGTTCTAGTAACATTACCAGGAACATATCACAATAATTGAGATTAGAAATCATACTAAAAAGGAAACGAGGAACGGGTTAAATTTTCACATCAGCGCTCTACTATCAATTTAATACTTAGCACAATCTACTTCCACAGCAGGCACCACAATCCATAAATAAGATTAAGAACAGAGAGTAAATTACATTTACAGGTACTCACCCCAAGATTAGGCATTGGCTATTGACTTAATGGAGGACCTTCTCACCTTAGAGCCTGCTGGACAGGCTCCAAACTCTCTTTAAAACTGACCAGAACAGAACACACCCTACACATCCCCATGGCATCTCCATCATTGTGGCATCCAGTTTATCAACAAGATTGTCTTATTGAAAGCTCTATCTCCCTGTTTGACTTATCTCCATTGACCTGCCTCCTTCCATCTGTAATTATGCTGAAGAAAGAAAATTTGTTTTGTAGATTAGTCTTTTAAATTCATTCAACCTAAAACCCCTGAAGCCTGAAAAAATAAAATGAAGGACATCTGTGGCAGGCTCCCATCCTGTTCCCTCTCTTCTACTGCTTCCGGGAACTATCCTGTTTTCCCTTCTGAATGAGAATTAAGTATCTTCCCTAGGGTTCTCCTTGTTGTTTAGCTTCTTTAGGTCTGTAGATTTTATTATGTTTATCCTATATTATATTATATGGCTATATGGCTAATATCCACTTATAAGTGAGTATATACCATGTGTGTCTTTCTGTTTCTGGGATACTTCACTCAGGATGATCTTTTCTAGTTCCACCCATTTGCCTCCAAATTTCATGATTTCCTTACTTTTAACAGCTGAGTAGTATTCCATTGAGTAAATGTACCACAGTTTCTGTATCCAGCAGGGGATCAAAGCAGATGCAGAGACTCACATCCAAGCTCTGGATAAAGCACAGGGAGTCTTATGGAAGAAATAGTGTGCAGAAGGACCTGGGGGGAACAGGAGCCCCACAAGGAGACCAAGAAAGCAATATATATATATATATATATATATATATATATATAGCCCCAGGGACAACTGCAGAGACTGATGAATCAACCAAAGACCATACAAAGAGAGAAAATAGACCCCCTACTCAGATGTAGCCCATAGACAACTCAGTCTCCATGAGGGTCCTCTAGTAAGGGGAGAAGAGAGTCTCTGACATTAACTGGGTTGCCTGCTCCTCGATCACTTTTCCCTGGTGGTGCTTCCTAGCCAGCCCACAGAGGAAGAGGATTCAGGCAGTCCTGATGGGCTAGGGTCAGACAGTAGGGGAAAAGGAATTTCCCTATCAGTGGACTAGGGGAGAGGGTTAGGGGAGGAAGACAAAGACAGAGAGAGCACAGGAACAGAAAGAGATGAGGGAGGAGGTTACAACTGGGATACAAAGTGAATACATCGTATAATAATAATAATAATAATAATATAATAAAAGAAAAAATTATTTCCCCATGTGGACTATATATCAAGGGCTTCTGAAATACAACAAAACAAAGAAACAGTAACTGTAAGAGAAGAAACAGATTTTTTTCCTCATTGCTAATAACCAGAAACAAATAGTCAATGTTTTTAAATGACCCAAATTATACACTTCACTGCACTATAAATCAACAACATACTCCAGAAAGCCACTTCTTTGTGGATTCAGTTTCTGCTCTCTTTCTGCTCCAGGACTACTAAAAGTGGAAACATTGGTGCAATCACAGGAATGCACACCAGGGTTTAAGGCTTCACACTACAACTTCCCTCAGGCACTGACAGCCAGGTAACCATGTGCGATTTTAACACACACATCTGGGCCATCTTGGAAATTCCCAAAACTTCATAGAATCAGCTATCTCTATCTAAAGGAGTGTTATGAAAATGGCACAGCTAAAGTTAGAACTCCTGCCAAATATTTATTTTGGCTTGCTTTACTCCCTACCACAAATTGTTACATAAAACAAACAAACAAACAAACAAACAAACAAAAACCACCCTAAATTTCTCTCTTTAAGTTTTGCTCACACTTGTAATTGTGCTGTTTTATGACAAAAGCAAAAAAACAAAACAAAAAAACAAAAAAATACTCAACCCATCCTTATGCACGTGGAGATTTAGACATGAAAGCAATGGCATCATTACAATGGTCAAATTCCCTTTGACAGCCATAAAGTTCTAGTTAAACAAAACACATACAAGCACATGAAACACAAAGGCTACACTAGTAACACCAGCAGCGGCAGCAATAATAA